ATGATGATTTATGCTTGTCATAAAATCCCAGTACCTAGAGGGCTGATGTAAGTGAATCAAATCCAGACTGCCTGGGCTATATGGCAAGTTCCAAGGCAGCCTAGGCTTTATACCAAGATCCTGTATCAAAATAACAATAAATAAATAAATAAATAAATAAATAAATAAATAAATAACTTAAGAAAAATTAACTCGCTGGGTGGTGATGGCACTTGCCTTTAATCCCAGCACCCAGGAGGCAGAGGCAGGTAGATTTCTGTGAGTTTGAGGCCAGCCTGGCCTACAGAGTAAGATCTAGAACAGCCAGGGCCACACAGAGAAACCCTGTCTTGAAAAACCAAAAAGCAAAACAAAAATGCCAAAACAACAACAACAACCAAAACAAACAAATAAACAAAAGACAGTTAAACCTGGAGTGAGGGCACAGAGTTGTAATCCCAGCAGTTGGGGGTAGAGGTAGGAGAATCAGGAGTTCTAGGCCAACCTCAGCAGAGATAGAGAGTTCCAGTCCAGCCTCAGCTAGAAGGGAAGATTGACAGTGTGTCTTTTCTCTAACTAAAAAGATAGATAGATAGATAGATAGATAGATAGATAGATAGATAGATAGATAGATAGATAGATGTGTATGTGTTTGTACACAGGAGTACAAGTCCCCAGGAAGGCCAGAAGAGGGCATCAGATCCTATGGAGCTAGAGTTCCAGGCAGCTGTGACTGGCCTGAGTTTATTTGTTCAGGCTGGCCTCAAAATTTTGACCTTCGCATCTCTTGCATATTCAGTCCTGCTCCACTAAGTCCAGCAAGACTGAGCTATGAACAGAACCTCATGTGATAAATCATGCCTTTTGTAGTATCTAACTGTTTTTATTTATTGAAATGTGATGCTGTTGACATTTATTCTTAGGAGCTTTTTTCCTTTCTAGTAAGGTGTGGGGCATTTACCCACCACCCCCACAGCTTCCCAGAGTTTTCTTGAGTGCGAGCAGCAGGAAATATTAGATAGAAGAATTTATAGCGGAGAATCTTGCGGAGATAAACAGATAGAAAATAAAGGATAGCCTCGAGAGGGCCTGGAACCTATTCCAACAGGCCCCAACTGTCTCTGGCCCAGGGTTTTTATAGAGATGCCAAGGGGTGGAGCAAAAGACCTCCTCCCCCAGCACAGCCAAGTGCAGGCCATCTCAGACACCTGCACTCAGGCCCGTGGTCCTGATCATCCTCTATTCGGACCTGCTGGGTAAAGCCACCAGGAACCCGAGAACGGGCTCCCACAGTAAGGATTCATTTTTATTTTATTTCATGTGTGTGGGTATTTCGCTTGCATGTGTATCTGTGTACCATGTGCACGCAATGCCCTTGGAGGCCAGAAGGGGCCCTGGATCCTCTAGACCTGGAGTGATTGGCAGTTGTGAGCGGCCATATTGGTGCTGGGAACTGACCCTGGAGCTTTTTTTCTGAAGGTAAGACAGGGAGACCCCTGTCACTTCTGTCCCCAAGAAGCTCCCAGGACCCGTTTCCACTTGTACTGACCGTTTGTGTGCACCGCCCTCCCACTGTGTACCCTCTGCTTCGTTCTTGTTTTTGATCCACGATGTCTCTGATCAAGTGGAAACCATTTGAGAGACTGGGCTGGCCTCAAAGTTTTGACAATCTTCTTGTCTCTGTTTCCTCCTGAGCGACAGGGTTGCAGGTGGCAGGCCAGGCTCTTCTTTTGACTTTTTGTTAAAAAGCAGTGGGTTTTGTTACAGCATGTCCCCTACATCTGTCGTTGTTTCTTGCTCGTATCTACCTCCCTCTCCCCCAGGGGCCCCACTCTCTCTGGCTAGCTAATGTTACACGTGTTCCAATTCTTGTTTCTCTCCACCCTGCTGCCTCTGTTTTTAAAGATGGTCTCATATGTCTGGGCTGGCCACAGAACCTGCCATGTGCCCAAGGCTAGCCTTCAACTCCTAATCCTTCTGCCTCACCTACCAAGAGCTCAGAGTACAGGCCTGCCCAAACTGCCTGTGTCTGCCTCCTCTTTCGCTTCCTTTTCCACAACTAGAAGCTTATGGACTAAGTGGTTTTTGTTTGACATATAATGCACCTCCTTTCACTTCTGTTGCTTGATAAAATGTCCCGACAAAAAGCAACTTAGGCAAGAGAGGGTTTGCTTTAGTTCGCAGTTCCAGGTTTACAGGACCTCACATCAGAGAAGTCAAGGTAGGAATCTGAAGCCGCTAGCTCACAGCCACAGTCAGGAGCAGAGAGAAAGCAAAGTGCTGCCAGCCGCTCAGTTCCTCTCTCTATTTACAGTCCAGGACCACAGCCCAGGGAATGGAGCTGCCCGCGATGGGTGGGTCTTCCTACACAAGTTAAAGCACTCAAGATAACCCCACAGACGTGCCCACAGGCTAACCTGGTCCATCCGTTAATGAGACATTCTTCCTAGGAGACTCTGCTTGTGTCCAAGTTCACAACTGAACTAACCATCACATAGTGCTGTGACATTATTCAGAAGGAAAGATACAGACTTTAAAAAACAGGTTTCCAGCATCCCACCGCCTTCTGGGAACATTGGATTTATTCTCCTACCTGGCAACAATCACTGGAGAGGAGCTGTGCCTGTCCTGGGTAGGTAAACTCTCAGCTCACCAGGATCATCAAGGCTTCTTCTTTTTTAAACATTGTGGTGGTAATCTAATTGTATTGAAATATTATTTTGATTTGTATTGGAATATTAATTTGATTGTATGTTAATAAATAAAGTTGTCTGGGGGTC